AACCATTACAAGTTTAGATAGGAATTACTATGGGAAAACTTATGTTTTTGTTCATATCTATCTAACAATTCACCACATCACTATGCTTTTAAAAATAATAGCAGTGATTTTAGCAAATTTTCTCGGCTACGTGTTGAAAACCACTTTTCAATCAAATGTAAGGAACAACAGTTATTAATGATTCAAGTCACTAACGTCTTACGATTATGCTCATTCAACTGTTCAGCAAGCAACATTGGTGTTTCTGGTGCGAAGAATAGAGCATAAATACCATGGCTAGTATTTTTTTTATAATCCATTTATTTGTCAAGGCTCAAATGCGTTAGCTTTGCGGAGCCGAATACATGATTGTGTGTGAATATCATTTTCTTACAACTAATGTTAGTAGAACGGGGGCCGATTACTCGCGGTTTACTCGAGATTAGGGATTACATTTATTGATCATTTGGAGGGAGGACAAGGGAAAACATTTTGAACTAATTTAAAACTTAAACGTAAAGGATGACTAAAACACAAAACATTAAACACATACATCAATAGCTTTAAGAAAGTCGTAAAGAAGCTTCATAAAGTCGATATCACGGCAAGCCAAGACGTCTCTAATTGGCTTAAAGGGTTGTTTTCCTCGGACCCTAAGGGAATCACACAGAACGGATCTCGCCTCATGATGCAAGGAGCAGGACCAAACAACATGCTCGATGTCGTGATAACCGTTTCCACAGGTACATAAGTTGCTGTCGGCGAGCATAATACGGAAGAGGTGGGCGTTTAACGAACAGTGATTGTACATGAGCCTGGACATTACACGAATAAAATCACGACTCATATCCACCCAGACAACCAGAAGCCGTATAACGATGTACAGACAGTATCGTAAATAACTACAGTTTAAGTCAACATCACATATAAGTATGATATACCTCGCATTGTGTTTATGTTAAATCGTATAGAATGCAAATTTCCGACTTATATGCGATGAATCATTTTTCCATCGTACTGTACCACAAATTGAATCGGATTACATCGTAAGACTTTTCAAATTGAATTTGTTATGACAGATTAAATCGTATATGATGTCAAATCAACTCGTTTAATAAGAAATTAAAATTTGCACGTATATGGCCTCCACTTTTGTAGGTATAAGCCCTTTGTTTGCATTATATACGATTTGATTGTGTGTAAATATGTTTGTATATCACAGAAACAACTTTCAATATACGTGCATTCTGGTTGTCTGGGCAACCCTTTGAACCAGGGTTTGATCGACACCTGTGGGACAATAGAATGTAGCCATCTTCCCAGATCACCATCATTCCACTTTTGTTGCCAGTTGGCGAGGACTTGCTGACGAGAAATCGTGAAAAATTCGTGGTAGGCGATTTGTCGCTCGTAAATATCGCCTTCCATAGCGCCCACCTTGGCCAGCGAGTCCGCTTTCTCATTGCCCGGGATAGAGCAATACGAAGGGACCCATACCAAGGTGATGATATGCAAGCTGTTTGATAAGGCACTCAATGACGATCGTATTTCCTGGAGGAAATACGCCGAGTGCTTTATCGGCCGCATTGAACGCATAGCCTCCAGGGAGCTTAGGCTATCCGTAAAAATGAAATAATGGTCAGGTGGAAGTGAGGCAATACGCTCTAACGTGTACGATATAGCTGCTAGTTGAGCAACGTATACCGAACACGGCTTTTGAAGCTTGTATGAGGCGCTATGAAGATCGTGGAATACTCTAAAACCAGTGGACGCATTTATCACCGACCCATCTGTGAAAAATCTCTTCTCGGTAGGGACGTGGCGGTATTTGTTCGCAAAAATAGTTGGGACAACCAGGGAACGGTGAGGCTCTGGAATTCCTTGAATCTCCTGCCTCATTGTGAGATCGAATCTCACGGAAGAACAACTGAAATGATGGGAGACAGCGCGCCCGCAAGAACTTCAAGACTCATGGTATACGTCGATTGCATACAATCTAGCGCGATTCGAATGCAACGATATTGAATCCTTTGGAGCTTCAATATGTGCGTCCCCGCCGCCGATTGAAAGCAAAAGCTACCGTACTCCAAAATCGAGAGAATGGTGGTCTTGTAGAGTCTTATCAGATCTTCCGGATGGGCTCCCCATGAAGTGCCGGTTATGGAACGAAGGAAATTGATTCGCTGTTGGCATCTCTGCCTCAGATACGCTATGTGTGGCTAGTATGTCACACTGCAGAATACAGTGTTGCCCACAGAACAGCTGCTTGATCATGCTATAAGATTATCAATCTCTTAAACAATTAATAACAATTTAATTTGACATTTGGCTGAAAAACGATATTCCGCTAAGTTGTAGCTTAGAAAATTTCCCGTCATAATAATTATTTAAATGTTCGAAAAAGCAATATGGAAAATGCGTAGAAGACAATGTACAAAAAGTTTGGTTTTCCCATAGTAATTTCCATATAAACTTTGAATAGTTTGTGCCAAGTCAGTTTATACCCAAATGAGTTTAAATTTTGGGGGGCTAATGAGGACCTGATTTGAAACCGTTTTAGCAATGTGGAGCGAAAAGTTCAAATTTTGCATCAGTCTAATGCATACCCATCTGCACAGAAAAAAAATCTGAATTTTAAATACCGTGTAAAATCTCCTTTCGTTTAATTTTGGGCTGTACGTTGGTATAAGCATAGAAATCTTTTACAAGCTTGCATACAATATTGCTAATTTATGCGATATTGCGCTTAAATTTACATAAAATATCGCGTAAATTTATGCCAAATCTAGTGTTAATTTTATATGCGCTATAACTCGCAGAAATTTACATGAATTTTTCGAACAATGTGGCGCTATTTTTGAAAGTAGATATTTGATGGATTTAATAAGTGTAGGGGAAGTGCGGGTAAGCCCGTCACTGTGGGGGTAAACTGAATAAACACTGGTAATTTTTCTATTCATTATTTTGAAAATTTCGAGACACATTGGACGTACAATGAACATTTTAATGCTAATAAAATAAACAAAACATAACCAAGCATCTATCGTGTGCTGCTGGATGTAATTTTTTGCCAACCGAAACGGAATGAAAATATTCACTTGCTTGTCACAAATTCACACTTTTCTCAAAATGGATATGTTTGAGACTTAGATTTAGTTTGGACAACTCATACAGAATAACTGTTAAGAGCAAACCAATTCGAATTATGTGAAAAAAGTTATCTATCCAATTAAGTTGAATAATTACAAATGCACAAACCTACAGACTAACCTAAGTTTAACGAGCCAGATACTGAGGAGCTCTGATGTATTCTGATTTCTAAATAACCAGCTTAAAGTGTAATGTTTCTAATGAATCCTTTCTTAATCTCATGAATACCATGATCAATCATTAAGCCTCACAAATATATAATTTATCAATAGTATTTAACAAAATAGCCTATTCCAACCTTGGTGGCCACATAATTTCTATTCAAAACTGTCTAGACATGAACTCTGCATGGGAAAGATAAACAAATTAGATCTTTATAATTTTAAAATAGTCTTAATGCTTAAGGGACTGCCCTAATTCCCTTAGGAAGTTAAAAAAATGCTTTAATCTGCGAGGATTTTTAAATAAGGAAGGATAACAAATCAACCACTGGGTACATTAGACGATTTATATTAACCCCCAAACATAGATTAATGAGGATTGTTCGAATGTAGCGTCTGCCATTTAGAGGTTGTTGTCATGGAGACGCATGGTTCATCAATGTGTTCGACATATCACAGTTTATCAATTTGTTTTCCAATCGATCATTTACGGACAATGTTTTGAAACACTGTGAATTGATATTTTTTTGAAATTTTGGTAGTTGAACAACTATCAATTGATTAATCGGTATAGTTTTGGCAGAGTCTGTATGAAGTTTGAGTGATTTTAGTAAAGCACCCCGCCGAGAAAAAGCGGTGGGTGCAACTCAGTGGGAAACGCGTTCTTCGGGGGATAGCTGTAATTCAAAAAGTTTGGTTCAAAATATGCTTTATTTAGAAAAGCGCGTTTTTCTAAAATAGCTTTAACTTCTTACACATTCAATCAACGATAACCAATAAATGTTTGATGAGCAAACATTCATAAATCAGTTTCTAAATTGTGATAGTAGGTATAGCTGTTTTTTTTCTCTAAAATTTAAGGACAACTGATACACTGTTGACATTTTCTGAAGCTATATCTTTACAGTAGCATATTTGTGATCTCATCAGCTACTGTATCCGTTAAATTTACACAACTTGCACTAGAAAATATATATCTTTAGCGTAAGCTTTTTATCAATTAGCAGCGTTTGTATGAGGAATTAAATCATACGCATCTTATGAATTTATTAGCTTGAAAACGGATTATTTCAATCGCTTGACTTATAACGATTCATTCAACGATTCAAATTATTCGTTTCTACGATACGCTGGATGTATCAGCCCAAATGACGAGGTCCATTTTCAACTCCAATATCATTCATATATTAAAACAAGCCATTTAAAAAACTCGTCTGATAAACTACGGAAAGTTTGAGTTTCACCCGTCGGTCGCCATTCCAGTTCAAAAGTCTCAACCAGCTATCGGATCGTGAAGGATCGAAAGGAACGAAAATAAACCGGTTTCTCTGCGTCACAGAATAACTAATATGCAAACCGAACTCAAGTGGCACTCGGGCAGCTAAGACATGTCTAAATCGCAAAAGGTCTGATAAAGAAATTCCTTTCTCTTCCTTCGTCGAGCTAGACCGTGATGAATGTTCACTGTTTACTGTTTGCACCTGAGTTGTTGTGCACATTTACAGTAGCTGGTTGCACACAGGAAGATGCCCCGTCGAGAGAAAAAAAAAATCTATTATTCCATCGGCTGCTTTTTGTTTTGACTGCAGATCACAATCCTGCCGTAAATCTTATATACCTATCTCTCTGTGCATAAACCAAAGCGAGTAGAAGAAAAACCCTGTTGGAGATCTGGACGACAGAGAGGGGGTAATTGCACTTTGCACTTACGGAATTTATCAGCTCACTTCGACAAGAATTTATCAATTTAAAAAAATTAACTGAGATCCGAAGCTCGTTTTGCCAGGAAATTATTCTTTGCTGGAACGTATTATTTTCTACAATTGGACATTCATAAACGCCGCATCTATTTCAATTTTCGAGTCTTCATTCACTTTCGCTTGAAATTTATGCCAAGCATATTCCACTACACAGCCTCCGGGCTTGCGCGCGCGTGCGTTTTTTCTTCTTGTCGCTAATTTATTTTAATCTGGCACTTCAATCTTGTACTCTTTATGGCTTCCTCCAACATTCACTCGAAACAGAATTGCTCAACGCTCTGCATTAATCATGTAAGAACGACTTGCTTGAACGACAGACATAATCGCCCGTTTGAACACTCGAATGTCACACAAATTTGTTGCCGTGAAAATTATTCGTTCGAAAGTTAAAAATCTGGTCGTCGTTGTAGAGCCAGACAAACCCGGATTACGGTTAAACTATTTGAAATATGTCATGCGTTATTCGAAGCACGATTCGCGGGATGCTTCCACTACGCTCGGCGCTTGTTGAGTGACTGCCTGGTGGACCGGGTTCAGTCCTTTAGTGCTCTGGCGGGTTATCACTTCGACGTATACATCATTCACACACAGAAAACGGGAACCCGGTGTTTGCGTCTCTGCACACTCGACATACCACAAAGCGGCAAGAGAGGGTTTCGAAGAGAAAATATCCTAAGTAAGTCTCTCGTGCGGTACGATAAAAGCCACTCACTTAATTTAAGCCGGTCGTTTCATTGAGGGAAGGGTTGCTAGATGTTTATTTGGTTGATTCACTATAGAATGTGACTTTGGATTGCCATAATATACCTTTGAGCCAGTTAGTACTAGATAACTTATAGAGGAATACTTCATCAATTGTAAGCAACTTTCATTAAAATAAACGAAATACTTGTTTTGGGTCAGTCTAATACACATGGGACAGCTATGGGTTCACCGGCAGCATATTACATGGCTAACATATACTCATTGTTTTCTTAAATGTTCACTATGTAATCTTTTGATATTCAATAGTTTTAGATTCCATTACATATAATTTGGTTTCTCAACAACTTCAAAAAAGTCATGGTATCCATGATTTTAGATCTGTTCCCGTACTTACTTTTCTGTAAGATTAATTTGAAAAAACACCTGCATCCCTTTGCTACACATTCAGGGCTGGTAGTGGATATGTGATATAACAGTAGTGACTTTCGTGACTAAAATAACGAAAATAGTGACCAAATAGTGACTTTAGAACAATACAAAAGTGACCAATAGTAACTTTGACTGATCGGAAATTTTATAAACTCTTTTTTTTTCGTTCGGATATTTCTCGTGTCACACGAGAAAAGGGCCTATCCTTGTTGATCGATTCTCTTAATCGATTTTCTCTTTCGCGAATAACGCGACTGCCCAGGCCCTTTTGGCGTGAGAGGCAATCACTCTTACCACTACATCACGCTGACCGTGCTCTTGATTATTAAATTCATACTTATTTTTCGAGAAAAAATATTTGATCCCTCAAACATTTGTTTTATTTTCAAGAAACCTGAAAAATATTATATATTATATAAAGGGATAAAAAAGGATACATAAATATCATCAGATCTTGTCAAATTCATTGCTCAAAAATGAATCTTTCAAAAATCTTCTTAAATTTCCTTATCTAATGTGAAAGAATTACCAAAATTATCAAAGCAGTTTTCATTTTGTGGTCTATTTTTAGGTGACAGATTAAATCTAATGTGAAATGTGCTTCGAAAGATCGTAAAAAATAGGTCCACCTTCGGAAATCTTTGGTTTACTCATTATTTTAAATTTAAAAAACAACGTATAGTTATGTTTTGCGTCCAGCCGAGATAATTTAATGACTTTCAGAATCTCTATTACTGCTCATTGATGAATTTATGAGATTGAAGTTATGTTCATGGAAAAACATCTTGGAAAACGAAGAAAGTAAAAAACAAATGTAATAATAGCAATATGGCGGTGGCATAAAAATTGATTTTCCATAGGCTAATTGTGAAAAAGCTATTTTGATTTCATGAAATCGCTTACAAATACAAAACGTTTTATTTTGACATTAATGAAGATAATTTGCAGACTGAATTGTATTTATCTAAGGCCATTTTGCTTGATCCTATTCCGTTTAGTTTTGTGACGGCATTACTGGTGCCTGGAAAAAGTTAAACGTCAAAATTTGTTTATATTTCGAAAGTTTTGTTGCGCGATCATTGCACCCAGCTTCTACTCCTGCGTTGGATCAACAAGTTGCGTGACATCCTCGATAAGGGCGACTATCATCCATTGGAAGCAGTTAATCAGGAAGTGTATCTGCATAACTTGGAACAGATGGAAGCTCAATCGTTCCCGAAAAGTTTTCCTTCTTCCGGATGATGCAATAAAGTTAAAGCCGGCAGTTTTCCGCAGTTCCAATTTGGCACTGATGCATGTTATTCGAATCATCATCGATACGCGATTTCTGGAGAAGGGTGGTCTGTGTTTATTCAGATCGTGACGCAAACGCCATTGACAATATTTTGGGTATTGCCATCAATTTGACGGCTTCCAGTGCTTCGTGAACCACATTAACTAACTCTTCTCAGTCGGTTGTTCTGTCATTGTTGAGCGGTTCAGTCGGAGCTGCTGGGCCTCCCAAGAAGTTCTGGAATTGGATTCCTTTTCCTTTCCGTTGACAGCATCGCTAGAATTATTCCTCCTACTTTCGCTAGTATTATTATTCGACTATCCTTGTGATTTTTCGTTTCAATGCTCCAATCGATAAATTTTTTTCTCTGTCTCTAGGCGGATCAATATTTTCAGTTTAACTTGTAAACAGTAGGGTGTTTTGTGATACACTTTATTGACACCAAAAAGCAGCAATTTCTTTTTTTTCCTTGATTTGTTTTCCGTCGATCTTGTTTTCCGTGCTGAGCACCAATGCTACCGACGCCAAGGAGGCAGCTCCCACACCTGGACCCTACCTATCGACTCATCAATTCATGAACCGGGGACCAACGGCTTTACTTCCCTTCCGAAGGAAGACGTAATCAGAGATGTTATGCCTCAGAAAATCCCGGCCGCGCCGACTGGGATTGAACCCAGGCCTGCTGGGGTGAGAGGTAATCACGCTTACACCACCGGCACCGCTATCAAAAAGCAGCAATATATGTTTTTTGCTCCCCTTTGAAACCGAACGGTTTTATAATTGCTTTTATAATGAGAAAACACTTTTATGGAGTATTCGTGACTTCAAAAAAAAAAAAATACCGAGCAGGTTTATGATTGACTTACTGAACAGTTTTAAACAGGGATAGAGTGCTGCATTAAATTCATTTTTTAAACCAGACCCGTTTTGACTTTATCGTTAGACTTTAAAAGGTTTTAAAAACAGCAAAATGCTGAACTACTGACCAAGAATGTGTTGCCCTTTTAAATGCTGTATTTAAACTAAAAAGATTTCTTATTGCCATTATAAAACAATAATAAGTCAGTGTGAAAGCCAAAAGGCTGCTAAATTGTTACTTGGGTAGTAATAACATTTCTGATCATAAATGGTTTAATTTACACCAAATTCAGGAATTACAACGAAATCACGCATGTCATATGATAGTTATTTGAAAATTTTCTTTTTGCTCGAATGTCAATTGAAAAGCCCACAGGTTTTCCAAGCACGAGGTTTGGAAAAAAAATTGACAATCAATTATATTTTATTGATTAGATCTAGAAATCCTTTGGTTTGTTTTTTTCCGTCGATCTTGTTTTCCGTGCTGAGCACCAATGCTACCGACGTGCCAGGAAGGCAGCTCCCACACCTGGACCCTACCTATCGACCCATCAACTCATGAACCGGGGACCAACGGCTTTAATTCCCATCCGAAGGAAGGCGTGATCAGAGATGTTATGCCTCAGAACAACCCGGCGGCGCCGACTGGGATTGAACCCAGGCCTGCACCACTACACCACCGGTGCCGTTAGATCTAGAAATCATTTGATATTGCAGATTTTAAAGTAGAGAATCCTGATAGCTATTTATAATTGAAAAAAGATTTCATTTTCCTTTCTATTCTAGAAATATTATGAAGTAGAAGATCAAAAAAAAGTTGTACGATCCAGATATTTTCTTTGCCTGATTATAAAAAATGTTCAATTTATTGCAAGAGTTTTCAAAATTCAAGATATGATCAAAGTATGTTTTATTTTTTTAAATTTGGATCCTTCGGCAACATATTGGGGGTGCAATCTCCAAACACCAAAATCGACCGCATTACGAAAATTGATCAATAGCGGATGGACTTTAATTCTAAACAAGCCAATCGATTGAAATTTTTTCTACGAATCTGCTAAAATGAACACTTTATTAATTTACAATAGGTCACTGTTGAAAATTGCACAAATGTCCCACTGTTGCAATGGTGATCAAAATTATCACCGATTGGCTGCAAAAAGCGCTTTCCCTAACACAGATTTCAAAATCAAATTTTATTCGTTCAATCACCGCGTGCAGTGAGTGGTGGTGTTCTCCAGTACACCACGAAAGGGTCCCAGCAAGCAGCTAGCTATAAAGGCTGCCCTCAATCGCTGATCGGCTCGTCGTGAGCCTCAGTGGTCCATCTATGCCAACCGCGTCACCCTCGTTCCAAATAACATACAGCTCGCCAGCACTATCCAGATTGAACACCCTAATAGCAAGAAATTCCTCCAATCAATTTTCGCTATTTTATTATCTCTCTGAGTAAACCAAAAATTCCGTGCGTTTTTTGCACGAAAATGTCATCAAAATACGAGACGTTTCCGAGATGGGAAAAAATGGTTTTCGCAACAAAGTCGCCGAATTTTTGATACCGAGCACGTAATTCTACGTCAAATCGACGTTTGTGTCTTGATTCAAGACACTTGACTATAACCTCTTGCTTTAATTTTATTTAATTTTTAACTCGGCTCCGTAAAGTTTTTTTTTTTCAACATTTGAGTCGTACCAAAAAACCGATTTGGAAAAAAAATGATCTTATTCCATCGGACAGGCTGGCAACACCGATGAGTCACTGCTCTCAGATCTCAGCTACCCATTCAATAGAAGCCAACCGGCTTGAGATTGATTGAGAGAGTTTTTTTTTCTGGGGGATCGACTTACACATACAGTCAACTTTCCATTTCTCGATATTGAAGGGACTATCAATATAGGGAGAAATAGACATTCAGAACAGTAATTTATATGTCTACTAGCACGGTTTTAGCAGCACTTACATCAAACGTAGAAAAAACTAGATTTTTTCATCGACATTTCCGGAGAGTGATTTGTTCCCGATTATTTTCGAGGGAATGATCGAGATAGATGGAATGTCGAGATATAGAGAAATGGATGTATGGAAATCTGAAGCGAGTACTCAAATCATCGAGATAAAGAGGAATATCGAGATATAGAACATCGAGAAATGGAGAGTTGACTGTACATACATAGGTAGATACATAAATATGCTCGATTTATGAGATCTCTCCAGCCATGATCTTGATGGTACATACATGTGTTGTATAG